GGGTTTGGTGTCACCCATGGAGGGTTTGGTGTCACCCATTGAGGGTTTGGTGTCCCCAGGGTTTGGTGTCACCCATTGAGGGTTTGGTGTCCCCAGGGTTTGGTGTCACCCATTGAGGGTTTGGTGTCCCCAGGGTTTGGTGTCACCCATTGAGGGTTTGGTGTCCCCAGGGTTTGGTGTCACCCATTGAGGGTTTGGTGTCCCCAGGGTTTGGTGTCACCCATTGAGGGTTTGGTGTCCCCAGGGTTTGGTGTCACCCATTGAGGGTTTGGTGTCCCCAGGGTTTGGTGTCACCCATTGAGGGTTTGGTGTCCCCAGGGTTTGGTGTCACCCATTGAGGGTTTGGTGTCCCCAGGGTTTGGTGTCACCCATTGAGGGTTTGGTGTCCCCAGGGTTTGGTGTCACCCATTGAGGGTTTGGTGTCCCCAGGGTTTGGTGTCACCCATTGAGGGTTTGGTGTCCCCAGGGTTTGGTGTCACCCATTGAGGGTTTGGTGTCCCCAGGGTTTGGTGTCACCCATTGAGGGTTTGGTGTCCCCAGGGTTTGGTGTCACCCATTGAGGGTTTGGTGTCCCCAGGGTTTGGTGTCACCCATTGAGGGTTTGGTGTCCCCAGGGTTTGGTGTCACCCATTGAGGGTTTGGTGTCCCCAGGGTTTGGTGTCACCCATTGAGGGTTTGGTGTCCCCAGGGTTTGGTGTCACCCATTGAGGGTTTGGTGTCCCCAGGGTTTGGTGTCACCCATTGAGGGTTTGGTGTCCCCAGGGTTTGGTGTCACCCATTGAGGGTTTGGTGTCCCCAGGGTTTGGTGTCACCCATTGAGGGTTTGGTGTCCCCAGGGTTTGGTGTCACCCATTGAGGGTTTGGTGTCCCCAGGGTTTGGTGTCACCCATTGAGGGTTTGGTGTCCCCAGGGTTTGGTGTCACCCATTGAGGGTTTGGTGTCCCCAGGGTTTGGTGTCACCCATTGAGGGTTTGGTGTCCCCAGGGTTTGGTGTCACCCATTGAGGGTTTGGTGTCCCCAGGGTTTGGTGTCACCCATTGAGGGTTTGGTGTCCCCAGGGTTTGGTGTCACCCATTGAGGGTTTGGTGTCCCCAGGGTTTGGTGTCACCCATTGAGGGTTTGGTGTCCCCAGGGTTTGGTGTCACCCATTGAGGGTTTGGTGTCCCCAGGGTTTGGTGTCACCCATTGAGGGTTTGGTGTCCCCAGGGTTTGGTGTCACCCATTGAGGGTTTGGTGTCCCCAGGGTTTGGTGTCACCCATTGAGGGTTTGGTGTCCCCAGGGTTTGGTGTCACCCATTGAGGGTTTGGTGTCCCCAGGGTTTGGTGTCACCCATTGAGGGTTTGGTGTCCCCAGGGTTTGGTGTCACCCATTGAGGGTTTGGTGTCCCCAGGGTTTGGTGTCACCCATTGAGGGTTTGGTGTCACCCATTGAGGGTTTGGTGTCCCCAGGGTTTGGTGTCACCCATTGAGGGTTTGGTGTCCCTCAGGGTTTGGTGTCCCCAAGGCATTGGTGGCATTGAGGCTTTGGTGGCATTGAGGCTTTGGTGGCAATCCCTGCCTGCCCAAGCCCTTCCCTTTCCGGCCCTACAGCGCATCCCATTGGTTTAGCTCGTGTCACCCATTGAGGGTTTGGTGTCCCTCAGGGTTTGGTGTCCCCAAGGCATTGGTGGCATTGAGGCTTTGGTGGCATTGAGGCTTTGGTGGCAATCCCTGCCTGCCCAAGCCCTTCCCTTTCCGGCCCTACAGCGCATCCCATTGGTTTAGCTCTTTACCGCCCCATGACTCGCGGCGCTGATTGGCTGCTCGGCCTGTCCATCACGGTGGTTGCCAGGCGATGCCGCCATGTTGCCTCCCGACCATGGCGGCACAGGAGGAGACGGCGGAGGCGGATTTTAAGCCGGTGCCGTTGGCGGCCGAGGCCCCGCGAGCGGACACGGCCCCGGCGGCACCGGCCCGCTCTGTGCTTTGTGGCCTAATTGGTTCTGTGGCCTAATTGGTTCCGTGGCCTAATTGGTTCCTTGGCCTAATTGCCGCGTACGGCGCTGTTCCGTACAACCCTCCATTCCCATCACACCTTTCTCCCTCCCCTTCCGGCAGCATACCCGCGTCCCATTGGCTCATCTCCTCCACCTCCATGTATCCGCGGCGCTGATTGGCTGTCACACCCTCTCACCTCGCCGTTGCCAAGCAACGCTGCCATGGCGGCGGACACGAAGAAGGCCGCGGCCATGGACGAGTCTAACAACGAAGATGCCGCGGCGGCCGCGGCTCTGTCGGAGCTCACGGCGCTGCTCTCGCCGTCCTGCCCCGCCGCTCCCGAAGCCGCCGAGGCCGCCCTGGCCCTGTCGGGCAGCGCCTCGGGCCGGGCGCTTCTCGCCGCACACCCCTCGGCCTTATCGGCCTTGTCCGCCTTGGCCGCCTCGGCCTCGCGTGGAGCCCGCCCCGCTTTATCCGCGCTGGTGAACGCCTCCTCCGAGCCCGCCGCGCTGGAGCCGCTCCTCGCCGCCGTGCCTTCCCTTCTCCCTCTCGTGCCCAGCTCCGGAGCGGCCTGCGGGGTGCTGGCCAACCTGAGCCGCGGCGCGGAGGCGGCTCCGCGGCTGCTGCGGGCGCTGGGCCCCGGCGCGGAGGAGGCGCTGCTGCGGGCGCTGAGCGCGGAGCGGCCGCCGGCCGAGCTCGGGGCGCTGCTCTGCAACCTCAGCCAGGCCCCCGAGGGCCGCGGGGCGCTGCTGGAGCCGCCGGGGTGAGCGGGGGGAATGAAAAATGGGGGTTTATGAGGGGGTTTATGGGGGG